AAGCAGTCCTGCAGGACTGGCTTTTTAAGTGCCAGAATGCCAGTGTTTGGTCCAGTCTTAGGGATGTGAAGAGACAGGGCAGGGGTGTCTGGGTTTTGCCAGTCCAGCCGCAAGGATTGTTATGAAATAAGTTGTGTTTCCCCAAAATTTATGTTAAAGCCCTCACTCTCAGTACCTTAGGAGGTGACTGTATTTGGAGGAAGGGCCTTTGAAGAGGTAATTAAGGTTAAATGTGGTCATAAGGGTGGGGTCCTAATCCACTAAGACTGATGTTCTTATAGAAAAAGGCACCAGGAATGCCTTCAGAGAGGAGGGCATGTGAGGACACAGAAAGAAGGMGGCCATCTGCAAGTCAAGGAAAGAGGCCTCAGGAGAACCGAACATCTGACACTTTGAGCTCTCTGACTTCTAGCTTCCAGGACTGTGAGAAAATAAATTTCTGTAGCTTAAGCCTCCCAGTCTACAATAACATTGTTACGGAAGCCCCAGCAGACTAATACACAGGTATGGTGGGCTGTAGCTAACTGGGGGGTGGGGAGGATTCCTAAATGGCATYGGAGGTGGTGTGTCCTTACAGCCAACAGCTCCAGGGGAGCCTCCTGGTGTCCCAACCTCCTGACTGTGGCACAGGCAACAGCTTTTGTGGAGTTACACTGGAGGTGGCCTGGACTACAGTCTGCTTTTCCAGTCCTTTGGGTGAGTTGGAAGCACTGAATTTCCTGTATCAAATCTTGTCTTCACATCTAGAAGGAMTCCCAGGCTTGGGATAGGAGAAACAGTTTGTTCTTAGTCTATTCGGGTTACTCTATTGAAATAGCACCAACTGGATAGTTTATAAACAACAGAAGTTTATTTCTCACAATTCTGGAGGCCAGGAAGACCAAGATCAAGATGCTGGCAGATTCAGTTTCTTGCTGTATCCTCACATGGTAGTGAGAAACTGATGTGACTCCATTTTTGAAAACAGCTTCTATCTCAAAGCCTGTCCAAGGAAGGGGGGGGGTGACCCTTGTCCTTGGAAAGACCCACAGAGCACTCCTAGGCACATACCCACCCTGCTGAGTTGTTTATCTACAATTAACAGGAGAGATCTGTGGTGCCAGATGTCCCTGACTCAGTTAGGCTAGGTGAGGACCCATAGCAACCCCCTACCAACCACCAACCAGCAAGAGACAGGGAAAATACCTGGATGCCAGATGACCCTCCCAGTAGTTTATGGTGGTTGATAACATGTTGGGAAACCATGTAGTTTAGCATGTGCACCCATCATGGCTTAAACCAATCAGTTCAAAGGAATCCCTCTCTTGTACTAACCAATCACCCCTACCCAACTTGTTCCCGCCAGTGAATGTGTTAATCAATGTTAAGAGTTGTTGTTTGATTTTCCCTCGATGTGAAATGATTTGCTGTGTGATGTTGTGACACATATAGTATCCCCCAAAACCTATAAAATCTCACTGAACAAAGGGCCAGGACTCACTCCCTGGGAGCGCTGTGTAGGAAACGGTTGTGAGTCCAGGCTCGAGCTTGCAATAAAGACTCTTGTGTGATTGCATTGGATTCGGCTCCTGGAGGTCTATTGGGGTCCCACGAATCTGGCATTACAGTAGATGGGGTGAAGGCTCTCTTAGACTTCATTATAAAGGACACTAATCTCATTGATGAGGCCTCCAGCCCCACGACCTAGTCACTCCCAAAGACCCCACTTTATAACATCATCACTTTGGGTGTTAGAATTTATCACATAGATTGTTGTGGAAAACAATGAGATCATAGCACCAGTGAAACATGGGACTCCTGGGGATTGAAGAAGGCACAGGCAGTTGAGGATTAGAGGACATTTACAGGGTCATGACCAATAGAGTAGAGCATTCCCAACAAGGGCCCTTAAAGAACAAAGGAAAGTGTCAGCTTCAAATACATGTCCTAAAGGTGGGAGGACACCTTGGGCAACACCAGTGAAGAATATTTTCTGCTCTCTTCTCTATTTTGGCTTTGGAGGGTTCAGAAACCCTTTTGCAAGTTTGAGAAACCAAGAAGCATAAGTGAGAGAGTACAGAAAAGAAATTGTCCTGTCCCATAACTTCCACCACATACAAAATGGACAGCTCACTAAAGGTGCTGCCTGAGGAAGGAGAGAGGGTTTACTTTAAATCAAGTCCAAGTTCCTGAGTATTACATGGAATCAAACATTATAAGATTTGACCCAGCTATGCCTCTCCTCGGACTATACCCAAAGGACTTAAAAACAGCATACCACAGGGACACAGCCACATCAATATTTAATCAGCACAATTCACAATAGCTAAACTGTGGAGCCAACCTAGATGTTCTTCATTGGATGAATGGATAAAAAATGTGGCATATATACACAATGGAATTTTATTCAGCATTAAAAGAGAATAAAATCATGGCATTTGCAGGTATAAATGGATGGCATTGGAGAAGATAATGCTAAGTGAAGTTAGCCAATCCCCAAAAAACAAATGCCSAATGTTTTCTCAGATATAAGGAGGTTGACTCATAGTGGGGTAGGGAGGGAGAGCATGGGAGGATTAGATGAATTCTAAATAGGGAAGAGGGGTGAAAGGGAAAGGGAGGAGGCAGGGGATTAGCAAGGATGGTGGAATGTGATGGACATCATTATGCAAAGTACCTGTATGAAGACTTGAATTGGGTGTCAACATACTTTATATACAAACAGAGATATGAAAAATTGTGGTATATATGTGTATTAAGAATTGTAATGCAAAAAAGTACATGTAAAAAAGCATAAATTGGCATGAACATACTTTATATACAGAGATACAAAAAATTGTGCCCTATATGTGTAATAAGAATTGTAACGCATTCCACTGCTGTCGTGTATTTTAAAAAAAAAGAAAAGAAGAATACACCAAAAAAAAAAATTTAAGATTATATAAAGTGAGGCTATGTTTACAACATTGGGAATTTTTATTACTTCAATGGGAGCAGAAACACTATATGACTGTCTAAATTTCCACTCAGGAGCAAGGGAAACACTGGGCAGGAATAACTTCTAAAAAGACAACAGAAAACAACATACGGATGGATTCTGATTACATCTTGAATCCTGCTCAATCACTGATGATTCCAGTAGGAGAGTTTTAATCTGGAGATTGGTTTTCACTTGTTCTAGGGTTTTGCCTTGTGGTAGTTGAACAGTATTTTGTATAGAGAAAACACATGTTAGACCCTACCGTTTCTCTACCTCTGTCTTCATTTGATAAACAATCTGGGCATCTCTGAGGTTCATTTTATACAAAGAAAAGGGACTATGAGGGTATCTATTTGTTTAAAAATTAATAGTTGCTTTAGGTAAACTTAAAGATCCACAAATCTACTTTCCCTTGATTTTTAAAATTCAATACCATATTGTTTTAAACTATTTACAAATTAATAATTTCACAATCCCTGTGTGTGTGTGTGTGTGTGTTTGAAGGTACCATTTCCTTAATTTAATTCTGTTAAACATTTTAAGCAACTTTTACAAACTTAATATTTGATTTTGTCTTCAAGTACTTCAATTATGTAAAAAGAGTCTATGTAATTTTTCTAAATACATAAAATTATATGTATTTTTATCTTTTACCTTAAATTGAACTATATATATGGAATAGTATTTTACAGAGCTTATGTATATTTAAAATATTAAATATAATTTAAATCATTTATTACTTGTCAATTAAGAAAATGTAAATTAAGTACTTGATTACACATTTTAAATAGGAATCCCCAAACTAATTTTATATTCTAATAYGTTAAATTACATAAACATTTCACATACTTATACCAAGATATCCAAATTATTTTTAAATTTATTCCAACTTTAATGTTAAAATATTTATTAAGTTAATGTTATGTTTATTTCCATATTCCCCACAACTCAGAGATGTTGGACCACATAAAAAGAAAGGTAAAAAGCTGGTAACAAGAGTCTATTGGAGACTGGTTTTCAATTGTTCTACAGGTGGCCAGCACCTGTAGTGCCAGCTATTCCAGAGGCCGAAGTAGGAGGGCAGCTTGAGCCTGGGCAACAGGGGAGAAACTGGTCTCATAAATAAAACAGTGGGGGATGTGGGAGATGTTACTGGTAATCTTAAAGACTGGAGAGGCTGAGGGAGGGCAATCACAAGTTCGAGGCCAGCCTCAGTAATTCAGGAAAATCCTGACTTAAAATAAAAAAAATAAAAAGGGCTGGGGATGTGGCTTAGTGGTAAAGCAAAGCACCCCTGGGCTCAACCCTCAATACGAAAACAAAGCAAACAAACAAAMAAAMAAAAAAAAACACAACCCACCACCGTCACCACCACCCCTCCAGGCTTTCCAAGGGGGCTGAGATTCATAGTACACTGACAATCATATCTCCTAGAGTGATATCCTGAAAATCATGATTTTAAGTTCATTACATATCCTGTCATACGCACTAGAATCGAGCTTGCCCATCCCTGTTGGCTTGCTTCAATTTTTCAAGTTGTGTCACTGTGATGAACGCTGTGGACACACTGTTTGGTGTTTCTGAATACGTCTTAGAAAAATATGGACTTTTCTGGCACTTGATAAACATTTTCTTATCCCAAAGATTTGCCATCAATATGCATTCCCATTAATATCCTATTATTATCATGACCCTCTCCTCACACCCTTGATAGAGCTGTGGTCTTCATGCATCAGCTCTATCACAATCTTGAATGTAGGCAAATAGAGTCTCCTTGTTTGGGGCTCATTCATTTCGTTGTAAGTACGGCTGAGCGTGTTCTCTACGTGCACGGTCACTGAGCTTTCGCTTATTCTGCACCACTTTGCGCAACAGGTGGGATGCAGGCGGTCGGGCTCGCGTGCTCGCCACCAGGACGGGTCAATCCCGGGCGAAATCGCCGTAATCCCGAACCCCATCGCCAGGGGACGCTGTGACCCAAGTCCCCCGCGGGGACCGGGTTGGGGCGGGAGGCGGGTGTGAAGGAGCGGACTGGGAGCAAAGGAGCAAAGGTTGGCGTCTTCGCTCTTAGACTGTCGTCGGAGGGGCAAGCGACATCATGACGGTGGGAGCCAGGCTCCGAAATAAGGCGGCGAACAGCTTCCCTCTCCGCCGGCCCCTGGGACGAGCGCGGACCCAGAGGGACGAGGACACGGACGCCATCCTGGAGCACCTGGAGTGCGGGGACGAAGCCGCCGAGAGCGAGGCGGGCGGGCGGCGCGCGGGGAACCGCAGCGCCAGGAGGGTGCACCTCGCCGTCCTGCCCGAGCGCTACGAGCCGCTGGAGGAGCCGGCACCGGGCGAGAAGCCCAAGAAAAAGTACCGGCAGAAGCTGAAGAAGTACGGCAAGGTAGGGACCTGAGACTGCCACTGTCCGCGGGATCGGGGCTGCGGCGCCCCTGCCTGCGCCCCCCACCCCCGCACAAGCACAGCCCGGATGGGCTCTGGCGCTTCTCTCAGCCGGGGGTCTGCAGGGACCAGCTGAGAGCGGGAGTCGGTCGCGATGGTCTGTCGCGACTCAGTTTATCTGGGGTGTCCTGCAACTCCGATCAGCCCCACTCCCTCGCCGGAGGCGAGTGGTGTTACATACTCGATCCAGGCTGGCGCGGGGTTGCCTGGTGCCCACTACCTTCTAGGGGTGGGTGGTGAATAACCTTCTCAAAGGGTTTTGCCCAAGAGGGTTCTTATTTTACTTGCGCAGGACAAGAATCAGTTCTGTGTGTTACAGATGCACATACTGAAGCTTTGGCGCAGTTAGATGACTTGGAGGAGGTGACCCAGTTGTGAAGTAGGGAGCTCCAGCCAAGTTTATGTTTTCTGGAAACCTCCTCACCATGATATCCCACTAGCTGAGAAATGTTTGGATTATTCTCCTGAAACTCCAGGGTTATTTCCGGGTCCTGGATGCTCAACAAGTTCATAGGCACCTGTTCAGTCTACTTTTGAGACCAACTATGTCTGTACTCCGAGGCCTTCTGCCGTTTGCCTTGGAGGAGAGGGAGAGGTTCAGGAGGAGGAAGGGAAACATGGAGATGGCCCTGAATGACAGTATCCTTCCCAAAGATCAAAGCCCAAAGTCAGTTACCAGGTCCCTTTAAGGGAAACCGCAGAAGCTTGATCTTGATCAAGCTCCCTTGATCTAGATGAGGTCTCCCTTGATCTAGAAAAGAATCACGAACTAACTCATTGTGTCCTGGCCAAAGGCCTTGTGCTCCACCTGATTTATTGCCCAGATATTTGTGCCCTTTAGTGATCTCTTATCAAACCTGAAGTATTTCAGTCTCCACACAGGGAGCTTAGGTTTATCATTTTCTGAAAGGTATGTCATCAGCTTTGGAAGCAGTACACAAGCAGACAGTGGCTAAATATATATTAATTAAAACTACAAAGTTGGGACTTTGAGTCTGGAGGTTATGGCAGGGTTAATCTTGAGCCCAAAGAATCCAGCATTTGCCTCTTAGCTGGTAGGCCGAGGATATGGAATCCTCAGCTCAGGGGCTAGCACTTGATGTTTTGGGGATACTTACTCTGTTCCAGGCTTTGTGCCTGCACTAGAAATGCAAAATTGAAAACAATGGAGCCCTGCCCTAGAGGACCCACAGCCTCCAAGGGAGACTTGATATAACTGGAGCATTACTGTGGAGCTTCATGGAGCTCAGCGGTTCCTAATGAGAATGAGTAAAATCCAGGCAAGTCTTCCAATCATGGTGAAGTAAACACTGGACATAGAAGGATTAGATAAGTTTTCACCAAATAGCAAAGAATTACCAGTTACACCCACGAGTATGGCTATTTGCTTTTTTTAAAAAAAATGTAAAATGTGAGAATGCAGAGAAATTGGGACCCTTGTACACAGCTGGTGGCAATGTAAAATGGTGCAGCCACTGTGGAAAACAATTTGGAGGCTCCTCAGAAAGCTAAAATGGACTTATTCTGTGATCCAGCAATTCCACTCTTAGGTATATAACACAACAACAACAACAAAAAAAATTGAAAACAGCTACTCAAATATTTATGCAAAAATGTTCATTGCATTATTTCCAAATAGCCAAAAGGTAAAGACAACCAAATGTCCATCATGGATGAATGAATAAAGTGTGGTATGTACATTGAGTGAAATATCATTCAACCATTAAGAGAAATGAAGTGCTAATGTATGCTGCCACATGGATGATGCTCAAACAACATGGTACTAAATGAAATAAGCCAGACCTCAAGGTTACACAACGTTTCTTTGATTCCATTTATAAAAAAAAAAAAAAAAAAAAAAAATCCAAAGAAAGAGAACCCAGATTGATGGTTGCCAGGAACTGGGGAAAGGAGTAGAGATAACTGCTTAATGGAGTGTGTGCTTTCCTTTGGGGATGATGACAATGTTTTGAAATTAAATAGAAGTAAATGTATTAAGTGCCATTAAATTGTACTACAAGTGGTTAGTTTTATGTTATGTGAATTTTCCCCGAATTAAAAAAAAAAAAAAAAGATTTTGACAGAAAAGGAATGTTACCCATGGTGGAAGGAACAGAGAAGTATACATGCAAAAGCTCTAGAAGGTTACATGCCAGTCCAGGAGGCCAAAGGAGATAACATTCCCATGTCAGGATTCAAAAGAGAGACTTTGTCTTCCACTTTCTCAGAGCCCACTGAGAAGGTTCCAGTCTCCAACAAAGAGGAAGAGAACAGCAATCTCTTTTTGCTGAAAAGCCATGAGAACAACTAAGACTCAGCTAGGGACATAGGAGGTAATTTTTAGCTGCTTTGGTCACTAGGTGACATTTTCTTACTTCGGTCCAGTAGAATAAGGAATGATGTACAATTAGCTCCATATTATTAACAAACAAAAATTCTTTCAATTCCTATTCCTGTTAACTTCTCAGATCCCTCACCCTAGCCCCTTCCTGCTTCTATTTAAAGAAAAGTGTTTGCCTTTGTGGAACATGAAAGGGTGGCTCACACTCCCAAGCTGCCCCCCTAGTCCCTCCTAGGGCTAGACCCTAATGCTGAGCTGGTCCAGCCTTCTGGAAGCCTGTGTTCCTGGGACTCTTCTGGAGATTAATGTTCCCAGTAGATTTTTAAGTAACGATAATAACATGCATATGGTGCATTTATTGTTGTTCAAATGCTATTTGCTGAGCATTAGAAAGGCAGGAACATACATTTGTTGTGTTCCTCCAGGGTGCCTGTGCCCTGCTTTGTACTTTATATGAAGGACCTCTGAATCCTCTCAGCAACCTTGGAAAGCTGTGATTATCCCTGTTTTGTAGCGAAGGAGGCTGGAGTTTAAGGAAGTTAAGCTATTTGTTCAAGTCCACCATAGCCAGAGAGCAGCAGAGAGAGCTAGGACTTGAGTCTGGCCTGGCCTCTTCTTGTGCAGGATCAGTGGGCATCAGAAGGAGAACTCCTCAGAACGTAGCTTAACATAACACTTTGTGCCTGGGGGTATAGCTCAGAGGTAGAGCACTTGCCTAATATGTGAGGAATTCAGGGTTTGATCCCTAGCACCGTAAACTTAAAAAAATAATAATACAGGTTGCCTTTCTCAGATACCCTTGGGAACAACAAGGGGGAGGTGTAGGTAAGAAAAGTAATTCTATTTTGTTAATCATGTAGGTAGRAGGGTGTTGGAGAAGGGAAATAGAAGCCATTAGAAATAGCCCCTTGTTTTAGGCTGGTGACTTAACTCAGTGGTAGAGTACTTGCCTAGTGTGTGTTAGATCCTGGGTTCAATCCCCATCACCACAAAAAGAAAAAGGAAAAAAAGAAGAAAAGAAAGCAAGCAGAAAAGGTGTACCTGGTTACCTACTGGYGTCAGGCTATGTATGCTTCCCTCTCTGCCTTGGTATCCACATCTGTAGTATGAGATAATAATAGGGTAGTAGTGAGAATAAATTTGTTAATCCACGAAGAAGTCGGAGACTCTACCAGGCTTCTAGCAAGGATTCTGTAACTCTTGACTATTATCATCTAGGAGGGTAGAGGAGAGGTGGCTGTTTTTCGGTTTTTCTTTGTTTTCTTTTCTTTTCCCTTCTCCTTCTCCTTCTTTTTATTGTTGTTGTTGTTACCAGGGACGCTTTATCACTGAGCCACATCCCCAGCCATTTTTATTTTTTATTTTGAGACAGAGTTTCACTAAGTTACTTAGTTCTTAAATTGCTTGAGCCTGGCCTTGAACTTGTGATCCTCCTGCCTCAGCCTCCTGAGTTGCTGGGATGTGCACCCAGCTCCTTATGGGTTTTTAAGTAAGTTCTAACTCAGAATAAAATCACTGACTACCAACCAAAGGCTGGTGCTTAGATCCTGACTTCATTTCACAACTGAATACTTGATCTTTGTGTTCAGAGAAAATGATCTTTGAGGATAGATGGCTTCCTTTTTTTTAATATATATAAATATATATTTTTAGTTTTAGGTGGACACAATATGTTTATTTTATTTTATGTGGTGTTGAGGATCCAAACCAACGCCCCACGCACGCCAGGGGAGCCACATCCCCAGCCCAGATGGTTTCCTTTTTGAAACTGAATGGGTCTCACTAGGGATCAATTGAATGCGAATGAGCCTGCAGAAAGCCCTCCTACCTGGATTAGTTTCCTATGGCTGCTGCAACAAATTACCACATACTTCATGACTTAATACCAAACAAATTTATTCTCCTACACTTCTGGAGGCTAGAATCTCAACTAAAATCATCAGGGCTGCTTCCTTTTGGAGGCTCCAGGAGAGAATTCATTTGTTTGCCCTTTCCAGCTTCCAGAAGCCCCCTTCTTCCATCTGCCAAGTGGGTAGTGTAAACTCTTCAAATCTCTCTCTCTCTGCTTCCATCATTACATTGCCTTCTGTCTGAGTCCTCCTACGTCTCTCTTTATAAGGACACTCACCTGGGCYGGGAATGTGGCTCAGTGGTAGCAGATTTGCCTAGTATGTATGAGGCTCTGGTTTCCATATCCAGCACAAAAATGAGATTCATCTGGATAATCTAGGATAACCTCCCCATCTCAAGATCATTTCTGGAAAAAAAAAAATCTCTTTTGCCATGTAAGTTAATAGAGTCATATATACTTGTTCTGAGAATTAAGACATGGGCATCTTGGGGGCCATTATTCAGCCTGGCACACAAAGGCTCCATCAGTGCCCTTCTGAGAGATTAATTTTMCTCAAATCAAAGACTCCCATCTGGGCACAGTTGGGCATGCTTGTAATCCTAGCTGTTTAGGAGGCTGAGGCAGGAGGATCCTCARCAAATTAACAAGGCCCTAAGCACTCAGTGAGATCTTGTCTCTAAATAAAATACAGAAAAGGGCTGGAGATGGCACAGTGGTTAAGTGCCTCTGAGTTCAATCCCCAGTACAAAAAAAAAAAAAATAATCCCAAATCTGTTCCCTGAATGACATTAAAATGGAAGTTGATACTTAATATATTTTTTTGCATTATATTTCTCAATTCTTTGTTTTGACAATGTTCCAGTTAATGAACTAATTTAGTAGGTCCCCCCCCATATTTCAAAGATGAAGCTATAAAGCAATTTAAAAAATATATCAGGTTAAGAAAAATGAATGTACAAATACCAAAAATGTCAAGTTTAAGGCAGGCAGTTGTGATACTCTGGCATTGTATATAAAGGATCACTCGATTATTACTCTTTCTCCCAGAAAACATGGTTTTGGTTGTTGTTTCAAACATATAAGTAAAATTCTCCAATTCTCATCATCACACAATTATAGAAATGTATCTTTTAGCAACGTGATACACACACACACACACACACACACACACACACACACACACAAGTACATACACGTGCTCACGTGCACACCAGTGTCTCACTGGGAAATTAATGAGGCAGTGTCCCAGCAAGCAGTGTCTAGAGAGGACAGAGATGCACCCAGTTTTCCCAAAGCTCCTCTTGTAACCAGAGAGGTACCAAAGGAGACACCTGGGATCTTTCTGCATGCTGGGGGTGCCTTGATGGGTGTAAGAGAATTCTTGCCCTCACTCTGTTATTGTGGGGGAATTTGACATTTAATTAGCAGAAAGCTCAAGTAAGCCAGAAATCCTAGGAAATTATACTCTTAAGAAACTTTCCCGAAAAGAGCAAAATATCTTAGATGGACATATCATGTCATTGACACACATCTAAATTCCTATGTAATAATAAGAAGGAAATGTTATTTTACAGTTATACTAGCTGACATTGTGGGCACCCAGGCTGCTGGAGCTTATGTCAGGCACAATTCTAAGTGCTCTCCTTTACGGGCACAGCTCAGGGGTAGAGCATTTGCCCAGCGTGCTCTAGGCGCTGGGTCCCATCCCCAGCACCACCAAAACATAACAAACAAGCAAACAAACAAAAAAACCAAAAACTACATACTTTCCTTGAATAAGCTCATTTAATCTTCTTAAGAAACTAACGATCATGGCATTTGCAGGGAAATGGATGGCATTAGAGCAGATTATGCTAAGTGAAGTTAGCCAATCCCCCCAAATCAAATCTTCTCTAAAGGGGGTGACTCAAAATGGGATAGGGAGGAAGAGCATGAGAAGAAGATTGCCTCTACATAGGGAAGAGGGGTGGGAGGGAAAGGGAGGGAGAAGGGGAAATGCATGGATGGTGGAAGGAGACCCTCATCGTTATACAAAATACATGTACGAAGATGTGGGGGAAAAAAAAGAATAGCGTTACCTTAGATTAGGTAGAGAAAAGTGATGGGAGGGGAGGGGAGGGGATGGGGGGATAGGAAGGATAGTAGAATGAAACAGACATTATTATTACTGTGTGTATATATGTGACTGCATGAGCAATGTGATTCTGCAACCTGTACACTCAGAAAAATGAGATATTATATCCCATCTGGTTCAAATGTATGATATGTCAAGGTCTTTGTACTGTCATGTGTAACTAATTAAAACAAATTTAAAAAATAAATAAAATAAAAGAAGCTAATGAGGTAGTTGCTATGTATTTCCATTGTAAAAAACGAGGAAGCTGAGAGCAAGGATGGTTAAGTAAACAATGGGGCTGCCATTCACTACCAGGCAGTGGACAGTTAACTATACATACGGCCTCCATTACAGAAGGGAAGTATGTGAGGGAGTGGCTAAGGGAATGGGTTCTGAGGTATTATTTCTGTGGCATCAAACTTCTAGTCTGCCTCTTACCATCTGAATAAATTTAACTCTGCTGTATTTCTTCTTGTTGAAGCCCAATAGCCAAAGGCCATCAGGGACATGCCAGTAGCCCAAGTTAGGTTTATTTGGTGCAAGGAAGGAGAGTATATGCCAAAGGAATTGTAGGATCTCAACAAGTGGGGATCTCCAGTAGAGTTGAATATCTGAGCTAAAAAGTTATCCGCATCCTGGAGATACTTAAAGTCCTAGAAATGGATGACACAACCTAAGTAATGATTGTAGGCATGGCGGGCAGAGAGAGAGGGAAAGGGGGACCCAAGTCCTTCAACATTTTAATCTTTGGTAAGAGGGATAAGTAGGTCCCTGAGAAGCAGAGGACAACCGAGAGAACATGGTCAATGGGGCCAAATGATTATTTTACAAAGCATGTCAGAAGCTGCTGAGAGGTCAGGGAAGGGAAAGGCAGAAAGTTATCTATTGGATCAGGTAACAGGGAGATGGCCAAGCAACCCCCGAATAGGTGGGGGCAGGAGCCAGAGTAAGAGGGAATAGAGAGTGCAGAGGGGTGACCTTATGTGGATGTTTCTTTCAGTTGGTTTGGCATGAAGGACAGCAAAGACCTGGGGCAGGCTGTGTAGCACCTGAGCATCAGTGTAAGCTACTGGGAATGATCGGACAGAGAAAGGAAGGGTGATGCTGGACAAGGAAAAGCCAAAGACATGATGGGAGAGGGGACGACAGCAAGTGTCAAGGGAATGACCCTGCCAGAAGAGAGCTATTGTCTCTGTGTCACACAGGCTAGAGAGGTAGGGGTGGGAAACCATGGGCAGGTACAAGTAGGTTTATAGAGAGTGGTGGGAAGGTGAACAAGTTCCCTGACAATGTCTCATCTTTGCAGTGAAAGAAATGGAATCATCTAATGTATGGAGGTTGCTGAGGGGAAGGAGACTTGACAGGAAGATGTAGGACAGAAGAGGAAAGACAGCCTACCAGATTGGTATGGTGGGGTTGACCAGTCAGCTTTGGAAGTCAGAGCAAACTTTGTGATCAGGATCAGGAATTTTAAGTGAAACCAGTCAGTGGGGTTATTGTAGTTGGGAAAGTCAAAGGGCTGAGAGACAAGGTGTGTGAGATAAGGTCCAGGTCAGCTTCATGGACCCTGACGTCACCAAGAATGATGACACAATTTGGTGGTGAAGAGAGAATGACTGAGGACAACAGTGCAATAAATGTTAGCCCTTGAGTTGTTAGTTTTTCTGTTGCAATTCTATTTGAATCCCTTGGGTGTCCCTTGGCCAGCCCCAGCCCCAGCAGAGAGGGAGAGAGAAGATTCCAAGAAAGCATTTCTCCAGTTTTTGCCCTCAAGAAGCATAGGATTGTTTTGGAAACACAAGACTTATATGCGTGCAGTATTTGGATAATGTCACAAAAGGGACAAATATGTGGGGCAGAGAGGCTGGGCTTTCAGACAAGGCTCATGAAGGAGAACTTGACCCAGTCTACAGATGCTCCAATAAATTTTAGCTGGAACAGAGAAGAGGAGTGGGGTTTTAGTTTGTTGTGCTTGCAAAGATGGTGCTTGTTTTGAGGCCCCACAAGTTCCAATGTTGGGTTGGGCACTGGACACCAGCAATATGGAAGCACGGCAACTTGCTAATTTGCCCTGGGAGACTGAGGATAAATGATTCTTTCTGTATGTCACCATGGCTCATGCTGCAATTAAAAAGTGGCCTAATCTAACCCTTTGCTTTTCTCTTTTGTTCCTTAAAACAGAATGTCGGGAAGGTCATCACCAAAGGATGTCGCTACATAGTCATCGGCCTGCAAGGATTTGCAGCGGCCTACTCTGCCCCTTTTGGAGTAGCCACCAGTGTGGTATCCTTTGTGCGTTAACAAGAGCCACCGGCGCAGGCACCACAAGAAGGAATAGAAGCCTCAGCTCCCGGAACAGTGCAAACCCAGGAGCATTTCAGACTTGAACTCACAGAAAAACTTAGAAGAGAAAAAAAAAAAAAATGTCTTTCTTTGTTGAATTGGAAGAATGTTCTGATGGTGCCATCCCCGGCCAACTGCTGAGCTTTTCACATCTCTTGGACACGGGTGGATCCGGTAGTCAATCCTGCAGAGAATTAGGCCAGGTTAAGTTTGGGGATTAGAGTTAGTTTGCATTGTATAAAGGTGAGAGCTTCACGTGAAGGTGACAGGGACAAGGATGGAGACAGACACTTGACAGATATGAGCAGATGATAATTTTGAGCAGGAAAAACATATGTTGACCTGGGATCAGAGGGTTTTCTAGATTCTCCTGCAGAGGTTCTGGCTGACAGAACCTTTTACAGCCTTAGGCTGCCTCATTTCTGCTGGCAGCAAAGGAGCTGTTTATTTCCAAAGTCATTCTGCCCCATCTCTTTCCTCTACCAGTCTGTCACCAGGAGTTTAATTACAGTCTTGAAGAAGGAAGAAAGGGGGGGAAAAAGTCTCTTTAAATTCTATGATGCTTTGAAAACTGTGTACACAGTTGTGTCACGACTGTTTAAAGTAGATAAAATCACGTCACTTTTACCCGTCTCTGCACAGATGAGCAACTGGCATTGAGGAAAGGAGGAAGGGCAGTTTGGACACAGGCTGGGTGGCCGGGACAGCTGGTTTGAGGGACTGCACCTGATTCATCCCAGACCAGCTTAGCCACATGTTTGGAGCTGGCCAGATCCTCCTGCAAATGTGTGGCTGGCTCATCATAGGCCTCCTAGCTGCATCAGGTCCCTCCTGACAGCTACTCAGCTGCTCCTCTATGTCAGGCCAATGAAGGGTGCTTTGTCCTGAACACAGGGGAGGAGGAAAAGAGAGAGGGAGACACAAACCCTGGGAAAGAAAGTGTAGATTAAATGAAGAAACCGTTAAGTAGGAGACAGGGGTGAAGGAAGTAGAAACAGGGTGAGAAGGATATTGGAAGAGACCGCTGGAAGTCAGGAGTCAGGTCTGGGTGCTCAGTGGTGGGGAATCTCAAAAGGGCAGAGCCTTTGGCCCTAAGTAGGAACAAAGGAAAGCTGGGTGGTGAAGGGTGCCATGGTGGTGTTTAAAACCCGTCTGGGGCCAGTGGTGTGGGTTTGCTTGTAGAAATGTCCGGAACTGTTCTGCTCTGTCTGCAAGATCAGTGGCAACCCATTACCCCAGGAGGTTTCCCAGGGCATAACAGGGAGACCTTCACACTCTTGCCTCATGCATCCAGCCCCACCAGGAGGCACTGAGAGGTGGAGAACACAGGAAGACAGACAGGTGGACAGAAAAAGGCATGGGTGGAAGAGAAAGTGGTCGCTATAAGGCTGGACTCAGCTTCTCTTTCTAGAGGCTCATGTTGAAGATACACAAGGGCCCAATGAACATTTGTGAGGAAAAGAGTAAACAGTCTTGTTTTAGCCCAAATGGTGAAAGTTGATAATGGCATATTTTCACATGTGAGATTATGATAGCTTGTCTGGCTAACACTGGCATGGGAGAAAAGGAGAGACAGACCCAGGTAGAGGAAAATGCTGTGGCTGAAGGAGAGACAGTCAGGACCTGTGAGGGTTTCTGGTCACAGGAAGTGAAGGCAGGAGAATGGGAAGTGTGCTTCAGAGAAGGGACCAGGGCTGCTGGGGCCTTTTCTTGCCTGACAAGTCTGTCCAAGGAAGAGCTCCTCCTCAACCCCCAAATTGGAAAAAACTGCAAGGTCAAGCGTATCTGGCCCTAGTTAAGAATTAACTCAGGAATGTCAAAAGTCGAAAGCTCACAGGGATTGACCTGGGAGTCAGGTTCAAGTATGCAGAGATGGACTTCAAACCCTCTCCCAGCCTGTGTGGTCATTTCCCCTATGGTGGGCAGGGCTCCGGGATGTTCTCATAATCAGTTCTTTGAATTTAAGAATTTGCATCATGTTGCAAATTACTCTTTTGTCTTTTCTTTCTCATTTTTTTTTTTTTTTTTTTTTTTTTTTTTTTTTTTTTTTTGGGGCCACACCTTACTGAGAATTAAATTTTAGAGCTTTCCCTTTACTGGCTCAACCAAGAGGCTTCTTTTGTATCCCTTTCTTGCCCTGTGATGAAAATAAAAATCCCAGCTTGTTTATTGTTTGTGTGTGTGGAGGTTGGTTTCTCCCTTGATTTTTTTCCTTGCCGGAGGGAGATTCTTGGAGCTCCTGCCAAGCCTGAGAATTGATACGGCAGGTGATGGTCAGTGGCAGAGATATCCTTGGGGAACTCAGTAGGAATCTACAGCTGTTCTCCAAGAGGCCAATGGAAGGAGAAGCTCTGAATCACCAGGGTATCAAAAGGATCCATTCCCTTGAAGTCTAGCAGAACAGACCCTAGGCTAACAGAAGCCTTAGCCCCTGTGTCTGTTAAGACTGAAAATTTTCAGAATCTCTGATTTGGAGAATCCAATGTAAGGCCTGGGAGGCTGCATTTTCTATAAGCAGCTGAGATCATGGAGAATGCTCTGGCACAGCTGTCCTCTGCCTTACCTGAGAAATGGTGGCCCCCAATTGCACATGCCAGAGTATCTTCAAGGCCTGAGGCTGGGTGCCAGCACCTTGCTGGGCATATGTGACATGCCTGCTCACTGAATCTTCACAAAACCATGAGAAAGGACTTGATGGTGGGGAAGGTAAATAGGAGAAGAGTGGCCCTGGGTGGCCATTAGATTTTGTACCTGAACAGGTTTGGGGTAATGGGGTCCCCACCTGCTATAGGCTTAAAGCAAAAACAGAGGCAAGGTACCAATATCTGCAGCTACCATGGAGTCACCCTGATGCCCCTGACCAGCCCTGTGTCTGGTCAGAGAGCCCCAACTGGCATTTGTGACCAAGAAGCTCTCAGAAGGAGGACTTGAACTTGGACCTCCTCTATGCCATCCAGAAGTCCCTGAGACAGGTGATCACAGTGTTTGACTTAGTAACTGATGTTAGGGGGTTTGTACCCGTCATGTCTTTTTTGGACTCCTGATTCTGCAGAAGCACAGAGAAATGAAGTTAATTCAAAGTGTTGGGAACATATAAGTTAACCCTGAGTTCAATCCCCAGTACCCCGCACTGGCAAATAAGGGGGAGAGTGGAGGGACATACTCAGCATCCCTGTAAGGCTGCATTTGAGGGGCTCCATAGTTTTGCCAAAAGGCCAGATGGTTCCTGAATTAAAAAAATAAAATAAAATAAAATTCTAACTCCCTTGACCATTCATAGGGAAATGTGGGAAAAGAATACTTTTTTTTTTTTCTTCCAGAAGCAAGGTTGTTTTTGAGCCAAAGCACTCTGCTGAACATCATAGCCAAGGGGAAAAGGAGATCTCTTCAGATCTTCTAAGTGGCTCAGTGCCAGAGCCTGGTGGGAGCCCAGCCCTGCAGGGGCACGGGGGTGGGGCTGGGAGGAGCAGGGCACAGGAGAACAAAGGCTTGATGGCTGGATGCCTGGGCCACATCTGCACCCCTGGGGTGCTTCATGCTTTCCAAACTTCTGCTGTGTCTAGAGACACAAATGAGATCAGAATTCAGCACCTTAAGGACTGGCTTTGCTTTTGAAAAAAGGTGTTTTTCAGGTGATTCCTCTTGTGTAACCTGGTGAGAAGGCTCTAAACAAATGCATCTGGTTCAAACCAGACATAAAAATCAGAGCCAAAGAACTGGAAAGAAATAGGACTAAAGGGTTCATGTTTCCTTCCCTGTCCCTGCAAATCCAGGGTAAATCACCTCTAACCCTCGCTTGCTTTCTTCACTCATAATCAAGAGTGGTTTTGTTTTTAGCTTGCTATGAGAAATATTTGGAATTGCTTACAAAAGATAAAGAGTGGTGAAAGGACCTTTTTTTTTTTTTTTTTTTTTTTTTTTTGGTGAAGGCATCTATGGGAGAAACATGTTTACAAGTTTATCTTTTTGAATTCTTTCAAGAGTGAAGAGAACATTTGAAGCCAACCTGGGCAACTTAGTGAGACACTGTCTCAAGAATAAAAAAATAAAGAAGGGACAGGGATGTCACTTAGTGACAGAGTGCCATGGGGTTCAATCTCCAGTACTGTGAAATAATAAAAACTACAGCAATAAAGCAGAAACAAACAAACAAAAAAAAAAAAAAGAAAGAAAGAAAGAAAGAAAAGAAAGGAGAGAAAAGAAAAATAAGTAAACATATGTCAATTGTGAACTTTCTTTGTAGCGCCTCTTCTTCCATCCAAAACTAGACTTGAATTTGTCTCTCCATCTTTATGTATTCGTAAATCAGTGAGTCATTTATAGAATCCTAAGAGCTCCTTATCCCATCTACTTCCCCTGGTTTCAGAACTGGGGCTTGTGGGATTGGAGGTGAGAAACTAACTTGCATTCAATATCTGGTAGGTATGGGAGGCAGTGTGTTAGAATATTTTATTTAATTCTCCTCTCATTCTCATTAACATCATTGATTTCCCCGGTTTTAAAGATGTGAAAACTGAGTTTAGGGAAGTTGCAGGGTAGTCAACTGCAAGGCCATGGTCAGGGGATGCTGAAACCAGACCGAAGGCTGTGCTCTTTCTGTCAGCTTCAGCTGCCTCTTATTTCTACTCCTTCTCAGGCTCTTGATACCTTGAGTGACCACAAGGAAAAGAGAAGCTTTACATGTAATCCCATCCAACCCATACTCTTTTTCTTTTGGTACTGGGGATTGAACTCAGGGGCACTTGACTACTGAGCCACATCCTCAGCCCTATTTTGTATTTTATTTAGAGACAGGGTCTCATTGAGTTGCTTAACACCTTGTTTTGCTGATGCGGTGTTTGAACTTGTGAGCCTCCTGCCTCAGCCTCCCCAGCCACTGGGATTACAGCCAATCCACATTCTTAGAGGACTCCAAGAAAGAGTGGAGGTGCTGTCCAGCCCACCACCTTCTGGATTTTGGAGATGCTGGGATGGCTCAACTGCTGATTTGCCACAGTCAAGGTACATAAGGGAGGACACAGGGCTGGCCAGGGAGGGGATGTGTGACCCTGAATGAGCGGTTTTGCATTTATTTTGCAATGTCTCTATGCCTCGCCTATTTCTAGAGCTGCAGTTACTGTTCCCACTGACTAGTTAGTCATTTTGTTTCCATTGAACCAGGCTTCCATTGTCCACCCCAGGATCCTGGGGCCACATGCCAAAGCCCCAGGGGCTGCAAAAGCCACCCCTCCACCCCCCCCCCCATAGGAACAGTATTGGCATCAGAAAAAAAAAAACCTGGCTTCTGATCTTCTAATTATGTGACCTTGGACAAATTCCTTAGCTTCTTCGAATTTCAGGGTTTGTTTTTGATTCCTTTGTGAAGTAGAGCAAATGGTATCTACTCCAGAGCCTTATCTGTTAAGGTTAAATATGAAGTTCACTAAGACCCTGGTAGGTAGGATACTAAGTGTCCTCCTTCTGCAGCTGCTCTTCTCCCACAGCCCCCTCTTCATTTGTCCCTGACTGGTGGGAAAAGGAAGAAGGCCTGAGAGCTCAGGGGTGAGCCAGACTGGAGAGATCCCACCAGGGTGGGGAGGAAAGAGACAACCTGCCTGTCCATCCACCAGCGAGCGGTTTTTCTCTTTCCAGGTTCATGATCTGGATTAGAGGCTGCTTTCCCATTGCTGGTTGGAGCTGCAGGGGTGTGGGGCTGAGGACTCAGGAGCATAAGGAGCAGGATCAAGGGCTGGGGTGAAGGTTGGAGATGAACGACTTACTTGAGGAGCAGGAGAGAGTCTGTCTGTGGGTTTTGGTTTCTGCTAGCCGCCCCAAGAAGGACTCCACCCTGAACTCATTCCAGTTTGCCCTTAGCCTTGTTTCTGTACACCCAAACTGCCTTATCTATAACACGGTGTTATGGTTTAGGTTATAAGCTGTCCCCCAGCCAGGTATGGGGGTACTAGCCTGTAATCCCAGCGACTCAGGAGGCTGAGGCAGGAGGATCTCAAGTTCAAGGTCAGCCTGGGCAACTCAGGGAGAACCTAAACAACTTAGACCCTGTTTCAAAATAAAAAATAAAAAGAGTGGGGATGTAGCACAGTGGAAAAGTACCCTTGGGTCCAATCCCCAGTACCAAAACAACAACAACAACAAATCCCTGTTCCCCAAAAGCTCATGTGTGAGATAATGCAAGAAAGTTTAGGGGTGAAAGGATTGGGTTATGAGAGCCTTAACCTAATCAGTGCATTAATCCACTTGAATGGATTAACTGGGTGGTAACTACAGGCAGGTAGGTTATGGCCGGAGGAGGTAGGTTACTGGCAGTGTGTCTTTGGGCTTTTTATTTGTCCCAGGTGAATGGAATGTTCATGCTCTCTCTCCCCCACCTTCCTGATTGGTAAGTCCTGAGCTGCTTCTGTCCTCCACATGATGTTCTGCCTCACTTTAGGCCCAGAGCCATGGAGTCGGCCAACCATGAACTGAGATCCCTGAAACTGTGAGGGAGCAGACAGGTGCCAATGGTGGGAGCTCCAGGTTAAGGGAATAATTCTATCAAATGAGCCCACTGTGCTGACCTGCACATGTTTTCTTCTCTAAGATGCAATTTTCCTGCAACCAGTCCTGGCTTCAGTGGACAGGTTACGTCACATTCCACAGCAAACTATCTGTTATCTGCAGGAGAAATGCAGGCCTGAAACAATGTAGATAAGAGAAACCCAAGTCACCCTGAAGGAGGAAACTTTTGTGACTCTTCAGAGACCAGATCCCCAAACGCAGGGAGATAAGGATGCTTCCTCCTAACCATAAAATCCTGTGAGGTATCCTGTTAGAACTGGTCAACATGGGCCAAGGTAGCCCAGAGTTGTCGTGGCTGTGGGGACTTGAAAGTCTGAGGTTATCCTGCCCTCAGTCAAAAGTCAGTAAGTGGGCTTGGGCAGGACTCTCTGGAAACTTCTCTGGGACCCCCAATAAAATTGGAGAGACTTGCTGTCCCTCTCCTCTTTGAGAGGACCCACCCTCTCCCTTGGAAGTGTCCCCTTCCCCTTTTCCTATCCCTTCAGTAAACTCACTCCTAATCCTCTGAGCACCATGTCTGAAATCTTTGACTTGATCATAGAATTGGGGTTTGAAGGAGGATGGTCTTCACACTGCCTCAGTTTTCCAGAAGGCCCCAGCTCTGGAGCAAAACCATG